GATCCTACCCAGAGAGAAGTCCCGCCCTCGTACTGTACGTAACAGCACAACACACGGTTCCACCTCCATGCACCAGCTCGTTACAACCATGCATCATGGGCGTCTTGAGACCAGTCCCCCAGGTGCACATCGCGTGGACTGGACACACAGTGAATATCTTCAGCCTCCACACCTTGCAATATGCCGGTATGGCGGAAGCGTAGTCGAAGATCGAAAAACACAACGGGGGATCTTCTCCACCTCTATGGCACACGTCCCCTGTTGAACTGCGTTCGCAGTTGTACGTAGGCTTGGCGTTGTCCAGACTGGACACACCATGTCTATGGCCATCGGCACAATGCGCGGGCGTAGGCGGATGTCTTCCATCGGCAAGTCTACTACACGTACAAGGATACGGTGCACTGATGGAGGAAGATACACAGCCACAAGCGCATATATGCTCTCCTGATCCAACAAAAACGACACTCACATGTTGTGGAAATCAACGACGCTGTCCGCAAGATTCTGGCCGTCTGCCGTAGTAAGCGCATCCTGCGCGGTCACGTGGCACCCCTGACCGTGAGGTCCATATAGGGCCAACGTCTTGAAGGCCTTTGGTTTTCGGGAACCTGCAGACTGCTAACCAAGTCGTTCGGCTCGTCTGTATCGGGAGATGGGACGAGTTGTAGGGATTTGACGCGCACTGCGCACTCCGAACTCTCAGACTTCAAAATATCACGCTTAGTGTCGCTGTCTGCCGGAGGTGGTGAGTCCGTGCCAGGCCTCTTGGTACGCATCCGCTCAATCAACTCTTCCACGCCCTGAGCAAGCTTTGGAGACCCGCTGTCGTGGACGGATTTCTCGTGCTTTGTTCGCTTCGACATCGTGCGGTTGGCGCCTATGTGTGCGGGACAGTTATCTGGTGCAACTACGGACGGGAGTAGCTAATGCTCCACATGGTCGTTAGTTCTCACCTTCTACTGCCTGGCCCACCGCTGCGATGGACAGAAGGATCCGCTCGAGATCGAGATGTGCGGGAGGAAGTGGATCTGATGAGGGCGTAAGTGCGGATTAGGTCTGGTTGAGACGACAGGCAAGTTTGCCACGCGTCCGTAATATATGAGAGCGCGCCAAAAGCGAAGACTCTCGATCGGACACATGCATGGGTAGCAACGGATAGAATGATGGAGACTTTTAAGGAGTACAAATCAATGCACACCCTCGTCCACGCTTGATATTGGCTACATGGTTTGCATAAACAAAAATCAAAGGGTTGCGAGACCCTTATGTACCCACATAACGGGACGGATAGTACCGCGTGTAATTGACATTTGCGCAGAATGGTGAAATAACTGGTACGAAGTTGATGTGTCCGGGTTGTTGATTGTCGTCATAGTTGCGTGCAAGCAATACAGGGTGATGCAACATGTTAATGCGGGTGTAAGGAGCACGTTTGCACATGCGTATAGGGTAGCGCATTACAATGTTGCGTTCACGGTTTATTTAAATGCGATAACTCCGTACTGTCCGGTCTTTTAGATCGCTGGGTATTGACAAGCCAATTACAAAACCATCTAGGCGCAGCCACCCCTAAAAGCTGTTGCCACTGACGGATGAAGCGAGAGGAGAACTGTTGCACCGCAGCATAGCTCCGTCTAAGCCATCGCTGTCGCTATACCCAGGAACTGCCAGGCGCGCACCGCTCAGTCGAGCCCGCTTAGTTGGAGTGCGACGGAGCCCGTTGATGACGTCGTCGTTGCATAGACCAGTGCGCTCGAGAAAATCCCTCGGAAGAATGCCAAGTTGCGCCGCGGTACGTATATACGTCTTAGTCACGGCGCGCACTATTCGGCGGCGACTACGAGGGTCGTGCAGACTCGGCCCAGCTGGCATAATCAACGGAGCGGTAATCTCCACCGCTACGACGTCTGCGACGGGAGCGTCCCGGCCGATGATGGCGAGAATGCGGGTGTCGCACGACGCGTATTCGGTGGCTTGCATCATGGCAGTATCGCCCTTTTTGAACTGGTTTATCAGTAGCTGCAGACGGACGAGTTGGGAAATGAGTGGCTCCACCGTGACACAAGTTGCAGGATAATCCGTCAGATGGAGAAGCGACCTCCACGCCATGGGCAACATCCCAGACCTTGCCCACGAGAGGTGGACAGCCCTGCAAGGGGTGCAGTCGCTAGCAGACCCCACCCATAGCAGTACGTTCTCAAAGACAATTATGGGCATTGCGCCCTTAGACAGCCACGCCGCGTCCCTTATGATGAAGTCGATGTAGCAGGACCGTAAAATGGTCTTGAACATCTCGACCACCCCTTTGAACCACGGAAGGTTGTACGTCGACACGACACCATCGAGATGAACTATCTTCGTTGACGTGAGCTCCTGCACACGAAATCCGCAGAGTGTGCTCTCGTCACATGCGGGGTCTGTGAAAGTTTAAAAGAAAGAAGAGGGTTGAACTAGCAAGAATGAGGATACAAATAGCAAACCCTAGAAGGGTTGTACTCGCTATAGAGCACCCCACTACAGGCTAGAGCACAATATTCTGACACACCCCCATAGCCAAAGTGGGGTGTAATCAGCAGAGCAAGCAAAGCAGTACAAGCTCAGGGTGGATCACAATGTCACCACACATTCTGAGCACAAGTTCAAGAAGCAATAGTTTAAAGTTTACAATTATCAGCAAAGCTAGTGGTAGTCACAACGAGCAAGTGAGGAGGAGGAGGGAGAGTGAGAGGAGAGGAGATAGAAGGCGGCGGCTGAAGCTGCAGACACACGGGCAACAGGAGTGGCGAGCACAGTGGCTACCGGACCAAGCAGCCGGACTACAGGAGTAACTGGCTCCGCGGCTAAGACAAGCGGCAGGAGCTACGGACCCACAGGCGACTGGCGCAGCGACAAGCTCACTGGGCTACCGGACACCGCCCCGGACTACAGTTGTCAGAACATATAGCTTACTTGTTTGTGTAGGCTATAGTGGGGTATCCCATAGGGGGTACAACACATTAGGGTTTCCTATTTGTATTCACTTCACTTCATAGTCATTCATCCTCGTTCTTTGTTTCCACATGGAATCAGAGCAGGTTCCCTCCTAGGGACTGCTTCTAGGGCCCACCGAACCGCGCCCCGAGGCGCGTTTTTTTTTAGCGACCCGTCGTGTCGCCCCTAGCGGCCCGTTGCGCCGCCCTTCCCCTAGCGGCTCCGCCGCCCTTCCCTAGCGGCCCCGCCGCCCTTCGATCGCGGCCCCGCCGCCCTCTGCTACGCGGCCCCACCGCCGCCCTTCGATCGCGGCCCCGCGCGCCCTCGGCTACGCGGCCCCGCCGCCCTCTGCCACGCGGCCCCGCCGCCCTCTGATACGCGGCCCCGCCGCCCTTCGATTGCGGCCCCGCCGCCCTCTACTACGCGGCCCCGCCGCCCTCTGCTACGCGGCCCCGCCGCCCTTCGATCGCGGCCCCGCCGCCCTCTGCTACGCGGCCCCGCCGCCCTCTGCTACGCGGCCCCGCCGCCCTCTGCTACGCGGCCCCGCCGCCCTCTGCTACGCGGCCCCGCCGCCCTCTTCGGTCGCGGCCCCGCCGCCCTCTGCTACGCGGCCCCGCCGCCCTCTGCTACGCGGCCCCGCCGAGCCGCCCAGCATCAGCCGAGCCGCCCAGCAGCAGCCCGAGCCGCCGCCGAGGCCGCCGCCGGCCTGAGCCGCTGCCCGGGCCACCTGAAGCCGCCGCCGAGCCGCCGCTGAGCTGCGGCCGAGCCGGCCGCCCGAGCAGCCCGAGCCGCCCGTGCCGCCCGAGCCGCCCGAGCCGCCCGAGCCGCCCGAGCCGCCCGAGCCGCCCGAGCCGCCCGACGCGCCCGAGCCGCCTAAGCCGTGCTGCTGTTCTTGAGCTGTGTTCCTCTGCTGCTGACCTACCCGACTCTCCCAGCCCGGTGAGACTTTCAGCTGCTGGCCATGGCCACCCCCAATGTTCTTACTTTTGACGCTGAGGGGGGGCCATTGACTTTGCCGTTGGATTGAAGACCTGCAGCTGTACTTACTGTGTGATGCGATAGATGAGGTCTCTCTCTTTGACTTTGTCTCTGGGCGCTGTCCCTGCCCCACCCTGCTGATGCTGACTCTGCCGTTCGCGGTCCAAGTGGGCGACCCGCGATGCTGCTGCACGTCTTGCTGTGCGTCGCCACCTCCCTTCCTCTGAGCGTGCCCACTTTAGTCAGTGCAAGACCGCTCAGGCCTTGTACGACGCTGTAGTTGCACGCTACTCCTCCCCTTCCTCCGCTACCCTTAGCCGCCTCATGCTACCGTTTCTCTTCCCTGACCTCGCTTCCTTTCCCACTGTCGCTGACCTCGTTACCCACCTCCGTGCTAGTGACACCCGCTACCGCGTTGCCCTTCCTGCTGAGTCCGCGCTGCGAACCCTCCTCCCATGTACATCACTCTCTACTTTCTCGTCACCCGTCTCCCTGAGTCCCTTCGTGTCGTTAGGGACCAGTTTCTCTCTGTCTGTCCCACCACTCTCCCTGTCGACCTCCTTGAGGAGTCCCTGCTAGCGGCTGAGAAGAGTATTGTCGCTGTAGGGGCCTCTCGGGTGACCCTCGCACCCCCATCTTTGAGGGGTGTGGTCCTTTCCCCCTGCTGCCCTCTGTCGCCTCTGCCGCTGCGGCCGACCTCACTGGTTTTGAGTCGGTCGGCGCGGCGTCTGCCCCCAGCGGCAGACGCCGCTCTGGCAAGGGCAAGGGGGGCAAGGGAGCGGGTGGAGCTAGAGGGGGCGGTGGAGGAGGCGGTGGGGGTGGCGGGGGGAGTGGGGGTGGCGGTGGGGTGGTGGCGGGAGTGGAGGTACTGGTGGCGGCGGTGGAGGCGGAGGTGGCGGTGGAGGTGGTAGCGGAGGAGGCGGTGGGAGCGGTGGGAGCGACGGTCCTGGTGGGGGAGGTGGAGGTGGAGACGGGGGTGGCGGTGGAGGCGGGGGGTGGCGGTGGAGGCGGGGGTCGGAGTGGCTCGTCCCAGCGGAGCAGCTCTGGGGGTGGTCAGCGCCAGCAGCAGCAGCAGCAGCAGCCGCAGCAGCAGCCACAACAGCAGCAGCGCTCCTCGCACCGTCCCCGCCCCTCAGCAGCTCCGTGAGTGGTACTCGCAGCGTCAGCGTGGTGGTGCGCTTGGTCCTTGCCCCTACGTTCTTCGCACCGCTGACCGTGCAGGGGAGAGGTGTGGAGGCGCCCACACAGCCCGCCGCTGCTTTGGCCGCCTGACTGACGCCTGGCGTCAGCAGTTTCCGGAGGCAGCTGAGATCCCCCGCTGGGGAGAGCTGTCTAGGGCTGGTGTAGCTATTTATGATCTTGATTTTGATGATATTCTCTCTGCTATGTATGCTGCGATTGGTAGTGATGAGGATGACTGTTACCCGGTGTTTCCCGCCCGACCCGGGCATTGGTACTGCCGCGTCAGGTACTAGTGAGGCTGCTGCTCTAGGTGCCAGTGCGTCTGTGCTCTCAGGTGCTGGTGAGTCTGCCCTCTCAGGTACTGTGTCGGCTTCGGCCTCTCACACCTTCACCCTTGACTCTGGAGCGTCTCGCTCCTTCTTTAGGGACCGCACCACTCTCACGCCGCTGAGTCGGCCGGTTGCGGTGTCCCTGGCTGACCCCTCTGGGGGGCCTGTCCTGTCTCGCTTCTCCACTGTCCTCCCGTGTCCGGCGGCCCCCTCTGGCACCCTGACTGGTCTTTACCTCCCCTCGTTCTCGACGAACTTGGTGAGTGGTGCTGACCTCCAGGATGCGGGTGTCCACCAGTTCACCCCTGCTCGTCAGCGGGTGACCCACTACACGGAGGCGGATACAGGTCGTCACCTGGCTACGTTTACACGTCGGCCAGGGTCGAGCATGTACACACTGACCACTGCTTCTCCTCCAGGTGCTGAGTCTGGTCAGGTGTTTGCTGCAGCGTCCAGGTCTGGTCCTGAGTCTGCCCCCTGCTCGTGCCGTCGTCTGTCTCACGAGACCCTCCTCTGGCACCACCGCCTTGGCCACCCCTCTCTGCTTCGGCTCAGAGGCATGGCCTCGCGAGTCCTTGTGTCTGGTCTTCCCCGGTCTCTCCCTCCCCTTCCTCCGGGCCCTGGCCCCACCTGTGTCCCCTGTGTCGAGGGGCGCCAGCGTGCTGCCCCTCACTCCTCCCAGTTTCCTCCGACAGAGGCCCCGTTGCAGACGCTTCACATGGACGTGTGGGGCCCAGCCCGCGTCCGTGGACAGGGTCAGGAGCGCTACTTCCTGCTGGTGGTTGACGACTACTCGCGTTACACCACAGTCTTCCCCTTGCGCAGCTCGTCTCCAGCTTCGGAGGAGCTTTGGCTCTGACTTCCCTGTTTTGCGTCTGCACTCGGACAGAGGCGGAGAGTTCTCCTCTGGCCTCCTGAGTGCCTACTGTCGTGCGCGAGGCATCCGTCAGACCTTCACGCTTCCGGACTCACCACAGCAGAATGGGATTGCTGAGCGCCGCATTGGCATGGTCATGGACGTCGCTCGTACGTCCATGATGCATGCGGCTGCTCCCCATTTTCTGTGGCCGTTTGCGGTCAGTTACGCCGCGCACCAGATCAACCTCCACCCCAGGGTCTCTCGACCGGAGACCTCCCCAGCCCTGCTGTGGACGGGGAAGGTTGGCGATGCGTCGGCGTTCCGGGTCTGGGGATCTCGGGCGTTTGTTCGCGACCTGTCTGCGGACAAGCTGTCCCCTCGTGCTTCTCCCTGCGTCTTCCTGGGGTTCCCCCCCGACGCCCTTGGGTGGCAGTTTTACCACCCCTCCTCTCGACGTGTTCTGTCCTCCCAGGACGTCACGTTCGACGAGTCGGTACCCTACTACCGCCTCTTCCCCTACCGCACTCCGTCCCTCCCCCCGCCCCCGCTCTTCTTGGTACCAGGTCCCCCCCCGGTAGTCCCCCTCCCCCCTCAGGGTCCTGCCCCTTCAGGTGTGTCCCAGGTAGACGCGGTCGAGCCTGTCGAGGTCACTGGTGACTCTGGTGCTGCTGCGGGAGCTGAGCCTGGGGGTGCGGAGTCTGGGGGTGCTGAGCCTGGAGGTGCCGAGTCTGGGGGTGCTGAGCCTGGGGGTGCTGAGCCTGGAGGTGCCGAGTCTGGGGGTGCTGTGCCTGGGGGTGCTGAGCCTGGAGGTGCTGAGCCTGGGGGTTCTGAGCCTGGGGGTGCTGAGCCTTGGGGTGCTGTGCCTGGGGGTGCTGTGTCTAGGGGTGCTGAGCCTGGAGGTGCTGTGCCTGGGGGTGCTTCGTCTCGCCTGGAGCCACTCTCCCCACAGGAGCTGCGTGAGTGGTTTGCCAGGCGCTGGAGGCGTGCTGCTGGTGCTGGTGGTTCTTCGGCTGCAGAGGGTACTGCTGCTGCGCGCCCCGCCGGTGCTCGTACTGTGGGTGCTAGAGCTGCTGAGTCTGAGAGTTCTCCTGGAGCTGGTCCTGCTGAGGGTGTTGGCGCTGAGCCTGCCGTTGGCGGTCCGACTGACAGTGCTCCTGGTGCTGCGGCTGGAGGTTCTGGAGCTTCTGGTGGTGCTGCTGGAGGTGCTGCTGGAGTGGGTGCACCTGCCGGGGCTGCTGGTGCTGTTCCTGCTGTTTCTAGCGTCGCCGCGCGGCCCCGACCGTACTTCGTTCCGCTCCTGCAGCAGGTTCTTGGTCTTACACCTCCTCCTCCTCCCTTAGAGGGTCCGCAGCCTGTCCGGTCACAGCCACAGCTACAGCCTGCCTCCCCTTTGCCTGCTCCTTCTCCCTACGCTGGTCCGACTGGAGGTCTTACTGAGCGTCGTGAGCCTGCGTCTCGTCCTGTGTCGCCTGTTCGTACTGAGCGCGCTAGTGGTCGCGGGTCGCGTCAGCGTCCTCCTCCTGTCCCTGGCACACATCGGATGTCACTGCGTCCGTCCACTGCTCCTCTGCGTGCCCCTTTGCCTTCTCCTCCTGCTTCCTCTCTTCCTGCTCTTGCCGACCCGGAGTCGGACTCTCTTCGTGCTGCCAGTCCTACTGTCACGCGTCTCCTGGCTACTGCTGTCACTGACCCCCTCCTTCGAGTCGTCTGCTGCGTCTGCCCTTGTCACTGAGCTTGTCGACTTTGCTGCGCGCTGTCGTCTAGACTACGCTGCTCGTCTTGTCACTGAGTCTTAGTCCGCCTGTCCTCCGTCCGTCGGGGGTGAGTGTGCCCTTGGCACGGACGTCCTTGAGGACAGGCAGGAGGAGTTCCAGTGTCTGGCCGCCGCTTCACCTCGTCTCGCGTCTGTACTGCTAGCCCCTGAGGGAGACCCGGATGCACCAGACATCCCGACTCCGCGCTCTTACGCGGAGGCGATAGAGGGTCCCTACTCCTCTCAGTGGCAGGCAGCTATGGATGCAGAGATGGCTTCCTGGAAGTCCACAGGCACCTACGTTGACGCTGTTCCCCCTCCTGGGGCGAACATCGTCAGTGGCATGTGGATTTTCAGGGTGAAGCGGCCGCCGGGTTCTCCGCCTGTCTTCAAGGCGCGTTACGTGGCTCGTGGCTTCAGTCAGCGGCAGGGGGTTGACTACTTTCAGACCTTCTCCCCCACCCCGAAGATGACCACTCTTCGGGTTCTGCTGCACGTTGCTGCTCACGGTGACTACGAGCTCCACTCTCTCGACTTCAGCACAGCTTTCTTTCAGGGCAGCCTGCACGAGGAGATCTGGCTGCGTCGCCCACCTGGCTTCACTGGGTCTTTCCCTCCTGGTACCCAGTGGAGTCTCCGGCGTCCAGTCTACGGTCTCCGCCAGGCGCCACGTGAGTGGCACGACACACTGAGGACTACGCTGGCGGCACTTGGGTTTGCTCCTTCCACTGCCGACCCGTCGCTGTTTCTGCGCACCGACACCTCTCTGCCGCCGTTCTACATCCTCGTGTACGTCGACGACTTGGTCTTTGCCACAGCTGACACTGCTGGACTCGCCTACGTGAAGTCCGAGCTGCAGAAGAGACACACGTGCACTGACCTGGGTGAACTGCGCAGCTACCTTGGCTTGCAGATCACCCGGGACAGAGCACGCCGCACCATTACCCTGACTCAGTCACACATGGTGCAGCAGGTCCTTCAGCGCTTCGGCTTCACGTACTCCTCGCCTCAGGCCACTCCTCTGCCTACTCGCCACTCGCTCTCAGCTCTGCCTTCGGATGAGTCCGTAGAGTCCAGTGGCCCGTACCCAGAGCTTGTTGGCTGCCTCATGTACCTGATGACCTGCACACGACCTGACCTCGCATACCCTCTTAGCATTCTCGCACGCTTTGTTGCTCCTGGGAGACACCGACCAGAGCACATGGCTGCAGCGAAGAGGGTGTTGCGTTACTTGTGTAGTACGTCGGGCATGGGGCTAGTGCTTGGAGGGCGCAGTCCAGTGGTCCTCACTGGGCACGCAGACGCTTCTTGGGCTGACGACCAGGCTACGCAGCGGTCGTCACAGGGTTACACCTTCAGCCTTGGTTCCGGCTCTGTCTCGTGGCGGGCTACCCGCTCGTCTTCTGTTCTCGGCTCCAGTTGTGAGGCTGAGATCTACGCTGGGGCTATGGCTGCACAGGAGTTACGCTGGCTCACCTACCTGCTGACCGACCTTGGAGAGCAGCCTCGTTCTCCTCCAGTCCTGTACGTAGACAACAAGGCCATGCTGGCCTTGTGTCGAGAGCAGCGACTGGAGCACAGAACGAAGCACATTGCTCTTCGCTACTTTCTTGCTCGTGAGCTACAGCAGCGTGGACAGCTGCGACTTGCGTACGTAGCCTCTGAGGCCAACACTGCTGATGTCTTCACCAAGGCACTTGCGCCTTGTGATCATCAGCGTTGCTGCACGCAGTTGGGTCTTGTGCCTGTCTTGCCTCACTTGCTCTCCTCTTGACCTTGCTTGTAACTTCGCATATATATACTCTTGCTCTTGTATATCTCTATATATGATCTTGCATGTGAACTGGCCTTGTGGCCTTTGAACTTGTGCTCGGAATGCGTGGTGACTTTGTGATCCACCCTGAGCTTTGCTTTGTTTTGCTTGACTGGTCTTGTGACCCCTTGTTCTCCCCCACTTTGCCTATGGGGGTGTGTCAGAACATATAGCTTACTTGTTTGTGTAGGCTATAGTGGGGTATCCCATA